TTTAATATTGATATTATAAAATCAACGTAATATATTTATAATTTAAGTAAAAATAAAGAATATGTGTTTATAATATTGGTAGGTATAATTTTTTTATTAAACATTTTGATACATCACCGACAAATGGTATGTTGCTGAAAATACTAGAGGTATTATTGGAATAAACATTAGCAATGAGAGCTATGTTGCTGCTGTTTAAATTGGTGCACTATTGACCTCACTATTAGCAACAAGAACTTTGTTGCTGATAATGAGTTACAACTATGTTGCTGAAAATGGGTCAGCTTTCAAAATTGAATTTTGGTTTTTTTTTTTTCTACTTGTTTACCATCAATTTTTAGCAATATAAGCTATGTTGCAACATGACTTATGTTGCTAAAAATCTTGGATGAACTCATCGGAATTTTCACTGGATTCTGTGAATACTTTTTGCCAACATAGGTGGCGTTGCTGAAAGTATTTTTTCAACAATGTACTCTATGCTACTAATATATCAGCAACTATAACCTTGTTGGTAATGTATCACCCACCAAAGCATTTTCAACAAAACTTTTAGCAAAAAAAACCACATTGCTAAAGGACTTTCAGCAACATGGGAGGGACCTTTAGCAACATGCTTCCGTTGCACTTCTAGACACAAATCTGATTCGAATTTTCATTATGAGTTCCCCCCTGTACAAAAACTGCTCCTATTGGCTAAATGTTCTTTTGGTATAGAAAGTGAAACCTAAATCACTAATTAAGAATATATATTACTCACCAACGACTGAAATAACTTAATAGTTATCTTTTTCCGTGGAAGTAAAAGGTCCGTTCGAGTCGCATAGCATATAGGTAGGGTGAGATAAAGGATATGAGATGATTGCTTCTTATTATTCAACCAAGATAAAAAAATATATATATTAATCTATTACCCAACCACATGACATATGAATTTTCATGATCGATTATTATATTGACACAATGTTAACCAAATAGAAACCAATACTACTACAAATTTACAAAACCTGCTGGAGAAACTAGCACCAGAAATGAGCAGACCCACCATGTTTATTTCAGCATGACCATCGGTGCGTGAATCCCTCGACTCCGCCGCCGTAACCTTAAGCTTTTGGCCATTTTCGCAATGAACTTTGTCGCTGCACAAGAAGTAGTGATCTCCGGGTTTGGCGAGCAAGAGGAACGTAGGGGAATTGTAATATTCTTTATGGGATGCTTGCGGGGAATTGTAATATTCTTTATGGGATGCTTGTGCGTGCAAGCATCATAATCAATTTTATTAACTTCCATAACATTTTGTAAGCCGGTATGATACAAGAAAACTGAAATTTCATTTAAAAAAAGAAAACAAAAGAAAAGAAAAAATTGTCAGAGATATGATAAAAAAACATGAGAGATGATAAAGAATTGTTAAATAAAAATAACATGTTGTAGCTTACGATCTTACAACCTTAAAATGTATCTAAATTAGTAATAGTTATTGTAAGAGTGTTTGGTTACAAATAAACGGAGTTGAGAGGAGAGAAAAGATAATTTTTTTAATTAATTAAATTATAAGATTGACAAATAGTATAATCTTATTGATAAAAAAAAACTATCTCATCCCTCTCCTTCTCCCTATCTCCTTCAAACTAAACATATCCTAAGTTAAAAATCTCATGTCCAAATTTAAGAAGGAAGGAATGATTTGGAAAGAGAAGACTCCCTTGTTATTTATCTAATTATAAAATGAAAAAAATTATTTATAAAAAATAAAATGTAGTTGCGGAATTATTACTCACTCTGTCGCCAACAGTGTAATTTCTGGTGTCGGACCAATCTTGGTAGAAAGATTTAGGTTGCCAGGGATGTTCCAACCGAAGCTTTTCCCGACGATATACATCGTGGCACCAACGCGGCCAATAGAAAGCCAGTATGAGGCCACGAAAAGAATTGAAGAGAGAAACTTAGCCATTTCCCTCACAATTCATCCTCATTTCTCCCTTCGGTTGGGTTCTGCATTGAAAGATTAGGGGGTTTGGGGTTGAATTCCTCCATAGAAAGAATGGAAAATAATGATGGAATATTAACACTTAAAATAGGATGAATTCCAATCCCTTCTTCTCCATTGCGGCTAAATTGAGAATGTTGATTAATTGTTTTCAATTTGTTTAATTACTCAGATGAGCCACCGCCATATATATCTTTCTCTATAAAGCCTTGAAAATGGACTATAGGCCATAAGAGTATGTCTAATTTGAGGGAATAGAGGGGGGAGAAGAGATGAATTTTTAACCAATCAAATTATAGTGATTTTAAATATTACAATTTAATTAACTAAAAATTTCATCCTTTCAATATACCCTTAAGCTTAAAGGGATCATACCAGTACCATATGCTATTATTTATTTTCTTTTTCTATTCCCACACTCTTACAAACAAAATAAAATAAAACAAAAAAAAAAAACAAAGAATTTTGTGTAATTTTCATAATTTTTTTTTAATAATTATTGAGTCTGTGCATATCTCAAAATTAATACTTTCAAATAATTAAGTTGCATTCCTTATATTGGAATGGTATACATTCATCAAAATTAATTTTAATTTTCTTAAGTATTGATAGCAAAATTTGAAATTTAATTTAATTTATAAAATAAAACTTATTTATTAACCAGGTTGAATTATTGAAATTATTAGTATTATTTTAATAATTTTAGGGAGAAGGATGGGAGTAGAAGAATAAAGTGGAGTTATTGCTAATTTACTATTACTGAAGTGCTAACTGCTAAGTTATTGCTTTTACTATTTGTTCGAACTTTTAGTGGGTTGAGGTTATTGTCATTACTGAATTTATTAAAATTACTAATTTAATTATAATTTTTTTAATTTATAATTTTTTTAAATAATTAATTATGATATTTAAAAATATCTATATATAATTTAATTTTAATATATTAAATGATAAATATTAACTATTTTATTAATCATTAATTATTTTTAATAATTAAATTAAAATAAAAAATACCAATAATTTTTAATTATTTTAATAAATTTAATGATGATCATAACATAAGCCTTTGGTGCCAGTAGTATCAACAGTTTCTTACAACACTACTTTTCATTTTTCAAATCTATCCTTGTTTATCACAAAATATAAATCAAGCTCCTTCATGGAATGGCCTAAATTATTTCACACGCAGTGTACCCTAAAAGCTACTTAAGGGTTCCTTTCCCATGGGCCGTCCCTAATACCCACCATCCATAGTTATTTCCCAACTAGAGTCTTACCCCGACCCTTTTCATTACCATCATCTACCTATCTAGTGGAAACTATTGCACATCTATATCAACATAGCAGTCGCAAGTCCTCTATTTTAAAGCCCAACTAATTTGAAAAAAAAAAAATGAAAGGGATAAAAAATTTTCATCTAATCGAATTAGAACGTTAAACCTAAATTATTATTCCTTTCTTATCAAATCAATAAAGTATAAAATGACAAGTCACAAAATTTGCTTTAAGGTGATATCACTGATGAAACCATGTTATACAATAGTTGAATATAGACCTTACCATAGATTTTAAAAATCTAAAAAATAGAGATACCTAACTTAAGATTTTGAAAAAAATAATGTTAAAAGTCTTATTTTTAATCTTCTTTTAGGATAAGGAAGATGCTTCAAGCTTGGAAAAACATTTAAAACTTAAATTTTATAATATGAGAGATCATACTTTTAATTGATTATGAATTTAATTACTGAATGATATCTCTTTTTGTTTACAAATGTTTTTATCAAACGAAAACTTACCGGCATTACTAATTAGCCTACTACCCCATGGCCTTCAGTATCCCTATTCCTCACGACACCTAACAAATTCAAAACTAAGAGGCTAGACTAAGATTAAACAAAACCAAAACCAAGGACCTAAATTGAGAAAAACTGCAAATTAAATGCAGGACCAAAACCAAAACTAACAAAGAGTTAAAGGACTTGTTGAACAGAAACTCTACTTACTTACTTAGCACCTTCCCTCCTCCAACGACCAAACTACCCCTAACCTAAACAACCACCCAAGCTTCTGTAGCCCGCCCATGTTTTAATGGTTGTACTCTATAACTTATAATTAGTTTGGCAGTTTCCATCTCAGACTGCAAAAGACCATTCATCAAATTAATTAACAGAGGCTTGCATTGCAACTAAGAAACCTCACTCATCTAGTGTTTTCTAATTCAATACAATAATAACTATAAATTATATTAATTTATGATATTAGTGTTAGTTAAACATAAAAAAAATTAAATAAAAAAATCAAAACTAGATTATTTAAGTAAACTACCACAAAAAAACATAAAAAATTTTCATTTATACCATAAAAAATATTATTTTAATTTTTTAATAAAAATTTAATAAAACATTGTAGTTTTAAGATT